TAATAATATAATAATAAAAATAATAATAATAATAATAATAATAATAATAATAATAATAATAATAATAATAAAATAATAATAATAATAATAATTTAATAATAATAATAATTAATAATAATAAAATAATAATAATAATAATAATTAGATAAAAAAATAATGAAAAACAAAAAATTATAATAAAAATGATAATAATAATAATAACAATAATAACAATAATAACAATAAAAATAAATATTATATATTCATATATATATATATATATATATATATATAATATATTATTATAATATATTATATATACTGACAACGTATCAATATGCTAATTGCAAAAAGTCTTATACGTAACAAAAGAATGGCGGAGATAAAAATTCAGTTGGTACTACTAAAAATAACGTTGTACTAAATAAATCTTATCTGTCAACCGCTTTCTTTCACGAGTTTTCTGGCGTATAAAGTATCCCATGATGAATAGAAAAACACAATACCGTGTTGATACTATGGTAGAAAAACCCACAATGCACAAACTAGATTTATTGAGGAAAGTGAGACAACAGTTTCGGAATCGTCCTCGATTCCATCTTCGGGTCTCGAGGACGATTCCGAAACTGTTGTCTCACTTTCCTCAGTAAATCTAGTTTGTGCATTGTGGGTTTTTCTACCAAAGTATCCCATGCACCCACACTTAATTCAAAGGCCTATATACAGACAAACACGTCTATATACACGCCTATATACTCGAGACCGACAAAAGGAGACTCCCCCCCACACACTACTCAGAAGGCACTATCACAATAGCACTTTTTTCCGTCAATTTTTTCGCGTTTCCGAATGAACTCCGGATGAAAATGATGTAAACAAACATGGCGCTGTCGGAGGGAGGTCCCGGGAATCACACGAACATTCTCATACATATTACGTTATTTTAAAGAAATATGATGCTGTATATCGTATACACGAATTTTCTAAAAATATTAGCTTAATATTTACATTCACTCATCCTATCTAATTTATTAACAACACAAGATCAACACGGAAATTTAGCCAATGTGACGAAAAACCGAACACACTCTACTTACCCTTAACAAAGATCTCGCTCAGAATATCAACACGCGATTGGCCCCAAGGAGTCTTAAATCAGCTGTTGTGACCCTCAGCTGCGCTCCGCCACCACCTTCCCCTGTCACCCTTCCCCAGGGCTTGGGGATGAGGCAACCCTGTACCTCTTCGTACCTCATCGTTGGGGAAGGTGGCACGAAAAATGATGAGGAGGAGACGGGGGTAATCAACATTATAGGATTGTTCTAATGACAATGGCTAGGGTAATAAAATTATTATTATCATTAATATTGTCATTATTATTATTACTATTACCATTGTTATTTATTATTATTATTGTTATTATATTATCTATTACATTCATTATCATTAATTATTATCATTATCATCATTATTATTTATCATTATTATATCATTACTATTATCATTATTATTATTACTATGATCATCATCATTACTATTATTATTATTATTATTATTATTACATTATTATTACTATCATTGTCATTACTGTTATTATTATTATTACTAAATTATTATAATTACTATATCATTATTATTATTACTATTATCATTATTCTGTGTTTCCGTCTGAATTTGAGGTTTTCCTTCCAGATCATAATTTCCGTCTTGATTTTGGGCTTCGAAGGATCTCTACAAATATATTTTATTTTGGCTAATCCGACTGAATAAAGTGTGATGCAGACATAATTCATATTCCAGAATATTTCTATATCCATATACAATAATTATATTTCCTTATCTGACGCTGTTTGGTCGTGTTGACAAATGTGGAAAGGTATGAATGAGAACGAATATCTTCACAGTATAAGAGATGTATTTTACCGGTTTCGAATATATTTCTGATGAAGATATATATTCGAAACCGGTAAAATACGTCTCGTGTATTGTGAAGATCTTCGTTCTTATAAACCGGTAAAATACATCTCTTGTATTGTGGAGATATTCGTTCTCATAAACCGGTAAAATACATCTTTTATATTATGAAGATCTTCGTTCGCATAAACCGGTAAAATACATCTCTTGTATTGTGAAGATATTCGTCCTCATAAACCGGAAAAATATATCTCTTGTATTGTGAAGATATTCGTCTCATAAACCGGTAAAATACATTTCTTGTATTGTTGATCTCCGTTCTCATAAACCGGTAAAATACATCTCTTATATTATGAAGACATTCCTTCTCACTCATACCTTTCCACATTTGCCTTCTTGTTTAGTGCAATAATCACGTACTGCACAACAAACAATTACAAAACAAACAATCCTATATTCAATATATCTTTTTAGACATATTTAAAGCTTAGAAAGTGAGAGGTTGGTCAAGTTTTAGGAGAGGGACTGACTCGACCCACAACCAGGGCAGGGAACACAGTGCCAAAGTAAACAAACATAGTGAAGCGAGTGCCTTGCCGTTGATGAT